GGGGCAAACAAGTTATGGAGAAGCACTGGGGGTATAGGGTGGTACTCAGGAGGGGGCAAATGTGGGAGCATGGGGCACTAACTGAGGAGGGGCAATGGTGACCACCTGAAGGAGCATGGGGAGAAGCGGGGCAATGGGAGGGGCAACTGGAAGCATGGGGCAGAAACTCTAGGTGGTATTAGTGTGAGTAATGAGAGGGGATGAGATGAGAGGGGTGGGAACATGAGGCAGCTGGAGAGGACTGGGAATGGGGGGCATGGGTTGGAGGGGAGTGGGAATGGATAGAGGCTAAGAATGGTAGGCTAAGCTTTGGAGGGAGGTTGGTGGGTGGATGACTGAGGGGGCATGGAATGGGAGGACAGTAGGAGAGAGCATGGGATGGAGGCGATGAGTACGTGGAAGGGGAGGGGAAATGGGAAAGAGTGGAGGGCAAGGAGGGTGTGGAGGGGAAGATGGGAAGGGTAGGAGTGGAGTGGAGAAATGGAGAGGAATTGGAATGGGATAGGGGAGAAATTGAGGGTAGAAATGGGTCAGGGAGGAATGGGGAAATGGGAGGTAATGGAGTACGGACATGGGAGGGTCAGGAGGGGAGCGGTGGCAAGTGGGACTGGGGAGAGGAGAGGGAGGTGAAGGTGTGGGTGGAATGGGAGGGTGTATTTTGGTGAGTATGGACATGGAGGAGAGAGGAGGATTGGCGGGGAGGTGAGAAAGGATGTTGACATGGGATTTGAAAGGGAGGACTTGGAGGTCAAGGAAGTTTTGGTGGGAGCAGAGATGTATAGCCAGGAGAGGTTGAGGTTGGAGTGGGTGTCATTGGGAAATGGGGTGGGACAGAGAGGGGAAGTGGTGGAGGGGAGAGTAAGAAGGGCATGGGGAGTGGACTGGAGATTGGAGGAGGAGGGTAGGGGAGGATGGAAGAGACATGTGGAGTAAAGGGGAGAGGTGTTACAGGGAGGAGAGTTGACTGAGTGCAGATTGCTGAACGGAGGTACTGTTGGTGATGGAGAGTGGTGTTGAGGGAGGAAATTTGGTGAATGGAAAGGGATGTGGGATGTGCAGGGTAAGGTTGGGGGAGGTGGAAATGATGAATTTAGGAGGGACGATGGGAACAAGGGGATAAGATGATTGAGGACTGAGCAGAGAGAAGGTGATGAAGAGAAAATTGTTCATGATCGAGGAGGAGTTGAGTTGGCAGCTTCTCTGTCTTGTTGTGTTCTTGCGTCTGTGTTTACCCATTACCTGAGTAATCGCCTATTGCATGCTAATTTCACTGCTGTATCCAGCTATCATTTGCAGTCGATTACTTGGTCAGTCATTCAGTTACAGATGTGCGAGTTAAAGCAATGCTTATGAGTGTCCACTGGGAATGCAATGGGGGTGATAAAAATGATAGGAATGAATTAACTGGAAATTCCAAGAAGCAGGAAGGAGGGTGAGGGTGATTACATGTATCTGTAATTTGTTTATAAAACTGAAGTTGGACTCAGATTTGACTGTTTGGTTTTATCTTCCTTTTGAACATTAACTGAAGGGAAGACTAATTATTGAAAGCCTGTGAACTTTAGTTTGCATGCTCTTTCTTGTCTTTTTGAAGTTGAGAGAAAAGCAATACTAGGGTCCATTAAAAAATATAAATTGTAAATGTAAAAAAATTGATCAACATTTAAAGTGTCAGAAACATCTGTCTCCAATTGTGTGTGTAACATTTCCACTCATTCCAATTAGAGATGATTGGAACGCACAGAATTTTAAAAAAGTGCAAAGCCCAGTTGGTTGATGAGTTGAAAATATCCTGTAATCCCGTCACCTGATCTTGGAAATTCTTCTTCACCCAGGCAGAGTTTATCTGTGGTGTGTGAAGGAACGGGGCGCCCTCATGTTTAACTCACATTCTAAATACAGCTGCTTGTGGGAACCCTGCAGTGATTTAAGATTTGGAATCGAGGATTACAAGGAGACCCTTCAACAATCTATTGTGTTGTTGCCAAACCTTTCATTTAGTGCTGAGAGTTCTGCCCTGGGCTGCAGTTTGCAGTGTTTGAACTATTGTTTGTTTGAGTTGTATTTACAGTTGTGTATTTTATAAAACTACAAATTTGGTTGGGATGTTTTCCGATTCATTTACCCTTCGGGCTCAAAATTACACAAAGGTCTAGCATTCCACAAGACGGAGGGATGAACACAAGTGTGTGCTGCGGTGTAGAGTTTGGATTCCTTGTGCACTTATTATAAGGAGTCTTGCTGTAACTATCCCCTCACCGTTCTGTCTTTCAGCTGGATGTAAACAGTCTGTTAACTTTTTCAGTCTTCGAAAGTGTCAATTATGCTTGCAGGCTGTTGGATGACAATTAACAGTGACTGATGAGAAGAAAAATTTCGAAGGTGATCATCAGTTTGAGGAAAGTTAAAATAGGAATAAGGACAGCAAAGCTGCTGGGAAGTTTGTGAAAATCTGCAGGAACTGACTGCAGTATTTCCACTGTTGGAACCACTTGTCAAACTGACAATGGTCCCCCAGTCAGGGAAGGGTGGGGAAGCAACAAGAGCTGCGTTCTTTCTTTCAAATGGTGTTTTCTTAACGACTGACGCTGTGGTCAGATTGTTAGCTGAATGATATTTTTCAATGAGTTGCACTGATTGTACAATGACAGGGTTTAATAGGCGTTAAACTCTTATCATAACATTGAGTTGTACTTTCCATTGACTTAATGCATGCCTTTGGCATTAAATTGGGTAAAATGAGATGCTGAAAACTGTACCCAAATACTGAATTTATTTGTTTTTAAGACTTTCCTTGCAACATTCAGACAGGGCCAGGTGGGTGTGGTTCATGCTGTAGATCCATATCCACTTGCTGGCACCTCCCCACACCACAATCCCAAAATCCAAAGGCAAAGAGGGTGTTGGAAATCAGGAAATAACTTTTCCCCAGAGGGCTTGTGGATGCAGGTTGTGGGTTAAGTGATGCGATTCCAAATTTTCCTTTTTGCCTGATGTACCAGTGCTGGACTGATAACCCTATGTGCAACAAACTACAGACTTGAGACAGAAGCAAGGCATGTCTTTTTGGGAGGCCAGCATTACTTTTTAGGCTACTGACGCTTGTTCAGCTAGGTCTCTGATTACAAAGAGCCAGAAGAAACATTGACCTTTGTCGTGTGTCACCATTAAAATCTTTGCAGTAGCTATTTTAAGTTAAGCTGCTATTCGTGGGGACAGGTGGTACATGATAATTTTTGGAATGCTACGAAACTCTTTCGTAGACAAGAAACAAGCTGCGTTTACATAGCAACTTTAGGACATTGCAAAGGATTTTAGATGCTCTCAAGTATAGCCGCTGTTGTAATTTAGGAAATTCAGCAGACAATTCATGCAGATATCAATCAAATAAATAGTTGAGATGGGATTATCTGTTTTAGTAGCATTGGATATCGACTGGCTCACCGGAGTAAACTTCCCTATCATTGAAAGTAGTGGTTTAATGTCTCAACTGAAGAATGTCACTTCTGATATTGCCACATTCTGATACTGCAGAGCAATACTGGCAACCTGGATTTTATGTTAAATTGTTGGGAATGGTATCTGAACTTCTCAGTTTCTGACTTAGAGATGAGACACCTCTCCCTGAACCAAGGCTTATTAGTAGGATAATGAGGGCAAAACATTTTTTTATCAATCCACTGGCAAAAGTGGAGAAATGAGACAGGCAGCCTGATTTAACTCCCACAAAAGTACTTTACGCTGTTACGATGCTTTTGACCAGTGTGAGATATTTACAGCTTGTGTTTTTATTTTCAACATTTCTAATTTCCTGTTTTCCTTCCAAAAAGGAAAATGGTGAAACAAAATCGTTAACTATAGTGCTACATCGAGAAAATGACACTCTTGGATTTAACATTATTGGCGGCAGACCCAATCTGGTAAGTTTTGAAGGGATTTTGGTATGCCTTGTTTATAGCTTTGATCTTTTAATTCATCGTTTATTATTTCTGCACAATGTGAAGATTTCTGAGAAACTGTCTGGCACCATGTATATTTCAGATGAATCACATGGAATGTCTCAGATGTTTGTAGTAATGTTGTACAGTTGATATAACGGATGATCTGGCCGAACCTTTAGCATTTTAACATGCCTGGAATTTTAAATTGTAAATATCTAATGGCAGGCCTAATATACAGTCCTCCATAATTACACTGACCTCACTTGCAGCTGGCTATATCTAGCAACTTGTGCAGAATTGACCTAACAGACACTTTGGTTTCAAAAAATTACTTTTCATAATATTTATTGAAATATATTGTTCATTGTTCAAAATGTACTCCATCCAATACTGTATGTTGCTCCCTTTATTTAAAAGTGGTCAATATTTATTACATGTCAAAAGTTTCATGCTGCCTTGGTTATAAATTCGATTTTATTATAATTCAGATTGGACATTGCTGGATGTAGGCTACAGTTGGGAAAGTGTACCACAGTTCAAGTTCTTCAAAGATTGTTTGTTTGCAAATGACGCAAAGAGAAATTGCACAATAGTGGAGTTTGTGCTGAACATGACTCCAACCAATGAAATTTTTGTTTCACCCAGTTCCCAAAGACCTCCGTTTTTCTGGGATTCTTTGATGCGATGCTCAGTCAAATTCTACCTTGACATCTAAAGCAGTCACTCTCTCCTCATCTTGGAATTCAACCCCTTAGACCAGTTTTGACCAAAGCTGCAATGAAGTCTGGAAATGATGAATCCTGGTGGAAGCCAAACTGAACATCAGTGAGAAGATTATTGCAGTGTCAGCGCGAAATAATAGCATTGTTGAAGACAGCTTCTATCATTTTGCTGGTTGAGTGTGGTTGGTAGGCTAGTAGTTGGCCAGATGGAATTTGTCCTGGTTTTTATCAACAGGACATAGCTGGGTGATTTTTCGCATTGTCAGATAGATGCCAGTGTTGCAGCTTCAGTGGGTCATCTTGGCTCAAGATGCAGCTAGTTCTGGAGAGCACATCTTCAGTACTATTTCTGTAATGTTGCACCTTTTACCATGCCCACTATTCAGCCATGATCAGAGGTATAGATAGAGTGGACAGTCAGAGACTTTTTCCTAGGGTGGAGGTAGCTATTACGAGGGGGCATAGTTTTCAAATGAGTGGAGGGAGATATAGTGGAGACGTCAGATGTAGGTTCTTTACTCAGAGGGTGGTTGGGGCGTGGAATGCCTTGCCTGAGAGGGTAGTGGAGTCAGCCTCATTAGGGGCATTTAAGCGATCATTAGATAGGCGTATGGATGATACCATAAGGTAGGGGTGGAGGTTAGATAGACCTTAGGTTTAGGGTAAAAGTTCGGCACAACATCGAGGGCCGAAGGGCCTGTACTGTGCTGTACTGTCCTATGTTCTATGTTCTATTTCTTGATAACACGTGGTGCGATTCGAATTGGCTGAAGATGCAGATTGTCAATGCTTGAGGTGGATCATCCTGTCGGTATTTATAGCTGAAGATAAGTGCAAATACTTCATCTTTGTTGATTGGCCTGGGCTTCTTATCGCTGCTTCTTTGGTAAAGTTATTAGTGACTACTCCCGATTCCCACACTTACCTTATGATACATCCTGACACTCTGCTTCCTAGAAAGACTCTATTCCATTTGCCCAGTTCCTCCATTGCCATTGCATCTGTCCTAACGATGCCAACTTGAACAAGGAGGCCACCAACGTGTCCATCTTCTTTCTCAACAGAGGATTCCCCACCACCGTGGTTGACAGGAACCCAGTTCCTGCACTTCGGCTCTCACCCCTCTTTTCCCTCCCACAGCAGCAATAGTGTCCCCCTTGTCCTCACCTATCATTCTGCTAGCATCTACATCCAGTGGATCATTAGCTGCCTATTTCCGCTACCTCCAGCAGGATGCCAACACATATTCGTCTCCTCTTCCTTGTCCATTTTCCACTGGGACTGTTCATAGAATCCATACAGTGCAGAAAGATGCCATCGGCTCATCGACCCTGCACCGATCCTCCACCCAGAACATCCAGCTCCCGTAACCCTGCATGGGCTTTTTACCATGGCTAACCCACCTACATGAGAATTGTATCTTCTGAATTCCAGTATCTCCCATGTATTTGTTCTTTCTTCTTGATCTCCAGTGCCCCTATGTTCTTCCTGCAATGTGGAGACCAAAATTGTTCATGGCTTTTTCTCCAGAAGTGAAGCCTAATATTTTGGTTGCATTTTGAAATGTTAATATTAAACCATGATGCTACTTTTCATGAATTGTGAAACTATACTCTTCGATCCCTCAGCTTCTCTACCTATTTGGACTTTTAGTTTTCCAAAGAGGATTAGCCTCAGCCCTCCAGCATGATGCACCTCAACAAGCTGACCTATATTTGCCAGTGGCATGACCTTTCAGTGAGTTTGTTCATACGGTTTAGCAATTTTTTTGCAGTATTCTTTCGGATTGATTGTACTGCCAATTTTGTCAAATGCAAATATGGAAATTGTGCTTTAAATTCCCCACTACAAATTGCTTATGTGTTAAATTGTGAACAGGTGCTCCCAAGACCAATGCCCATTGAGCACCACTGCTCTGAGTTTGACTATAGGTATTTTAACCTTGACTCTAAGTTTACAGCCAAAGTAGGACCCTTATGGCACAATGGTGACGTCCCTGAATCTGAGCCTGAAGGCATAGGTTCAAGTTCCACCTGGGATGTTGATTCAGAAAAAACATATTGACAGTCCCTTGCTTTCTAATCTGCTCCCTGTCACGTTGTCTGGAATCATTGTTTATCAGAACACCAACTATTTACCAGTACCATAGACACCAATTACAATGGTATCGCTTAAACCATAGTTAGAGTCTAGAATATTTTGGCAATTCAGATAGCTGGTCTCACCTTGTAAAATCATCCCCGTCTCCTTCTGCCACCGAGAACGCCTGCCATTGCAATGGGCCCTTCTTTCTCCACTTGGTGAATTGGATACATTCCTACACTTTCTGAAAAATATCAGTTCAGGCAGAAGTCTTTCCATGCCTCTTAGGTGCCTCTTGGACGTCCTTTTTGTAAATTTCACACAAGAACTATGCATGACAACCTAATCCTTCCTCACTATTCAACTGACAGGAATTGAGCTCATGAAATGCTTTCCTTCTGATTTCACTGCTTAAAGGAAGGAACAGTGCCAAGGTCACAACTTGTGTTACCTTTTTTTTTTGTAACCCTGTCCACAAATCCACTTTGTTCTTCCATTGACCATGTGGTTGAAAGTCTGGGAGCGTTGGACTGTCATCATAGCCCAATAGCTTATACCTGCTTCCTGTCATTTTTCACAATGACTATTAAGATAATAGTTTCCAGTCTAAAAGTTTTATTTCTGAGCTTTCAATTTTCATCTTTCAGGCAATCGTTCTCTGCTACCATATATTACTAAAAGATCATGAGAAACAGGAACAAGACAACCAATCTGTCTAGCTTGCTCTGCCGTTTGGTTAGATCATAGCTGGTCTGGTTGTGACCTTAATCCATCTTCCTGTACCTCCACCTCCTCAGGAAAGTTAGTTGGTGATGGAGTGCATCGGAGGCAACACTTATTCCCTTCTACGTTTATTTAGAGTTAGGCACTGCGAACATACGGCTCTTAACCCAAGTATTGCATTTTTATTCTGAGCATTCTATAGCTCGGGGCTCAGGTGAATTCCCTGTTAATGCACGCCATCTACATACAGCTAAACACAATTAATTTACAGTTAATATCACCTGCCATTCTTAGATCACCATAAAAGATTCCAGAGCACAATTTGAAGAAGAGAAAAAGGAATTTGCCTTAACTTCCTGCCCTCTCTGATTTACGAGTTGGAGGGGGAGAAAAATTACTTCCGTTTAACTTTACTTGGGACTTGGCAATATGAAGAAGCTGGAATATGGGTTTTAGTTTGCTTTGTCCTTCAGCAGCAAAGGACACATGAGGAATCAAGTCCAACATCTTGGAGAGACGAGGATAACCCAGGTATGGTAACACTGGTCTCCAAGTGATGTCTGCCCATTAGAAGGCATGCTAATCAAGATAAACAATAGGAAAATGGTTGAGAAGTACATGTGGGATAGGTATTGGGGGAGGGTTAAAACAACAATTTCGACTCATCCACCAAACACCGGTAATCAAAGGAGAAAGGTTGGGGTGAGTTGAATCACATTACATGCAATGTAATCAAGTTCATGGACCAGAAGTTGCAATGAGCAAACTGTACTCTTCTCCAACCTGCTGTTTAATTGAGTTATTAGATGTGATACTCAACCTGATAGAATGTTGGAACAGGAATGATCTAACAATCTAATGCAGAGAGTGAGCACTTAATTAATATCATCCTTAGACTTGTTTTGGTCTATAGTGGGTGAAGCATTGGAGTGCTTCCTAATTCATTGCTTTTTAGCTTGCCCTTCAGTGACAGGAGGAAATGTGTTAAGCTCTGGACACTGCAATTATTGTCTGGTCTCACTGTAGAAATTATTTAGATTTCTTTTTGAGTTGAGAAAATCAAATGCATCCTGGAAGGGAACCCACCAGCAGTAGGAAAGCGTGAACTGTTTAAGTTAGTGCGTGTTGCATAAAACAACTGGAGGGAGATTCCTGCCTAGTACAGATTGTCAGGACATGTGAATGCATCTACATCCCTACAAATGCTGTGTTTACTTCTGCAGTTTGATCCTGTGATGCTCTCAGGAGGTGGGGAGGTGCTTCTGAGATCTTGCTCAGCACCAAAATTTCTTGTGGGCAGCCAACTGTTCCCCTGTTACCAAAACAAAATGTTACGGCTGCTGGAAATCTGGAATAAAAACAGCAAATGCTGGAAATAGTCAGCAGGTGCGGCAGCACTGATGAGCAGAGGAAAGCAGAATCAGTACGTTAGGCCTGTGACCTTTAATCACA